TCCTGGGAGCAGTGCTGAGCTCTCCTGGGAGCAGTGCTGAGCTCTCCTGGGAGCAGTGCTGAGCTCTCCTGTGCTCTCAGAGTGGGGGCAGGCTCTGCTCTCTCTGTCACCTCTCATCTGCAGCTACATACACCCTGATATTTCACAGCCTGGGTGCTTTGGCCAGCTTAGACAGCATATCCTGTTCTTCAGCTGAATGTTCCCATGCTGTACCCCTTCTCTTGTCTTTTCACCTGGCCTACTAAATTGATTAATGTGCTGCATCTTTTGAGTTACCATGAGTCGGGTGGAACTCAGGAGTATAGGATCAGTATATTTACTAGACCATTAAAGAAGCTTGTTCTACTGGAGTYGGGTGTTAGTTTGCTCTGAGCTCTTGTATTGGTGTAGTGTGTTATTACTTATTTGTTTGGCTTTTTTGTGGGAGAAGTAGTCAAACATCTAAATTCTGGAGTGCTTGCTAATAATTCTTTTTTAAAATATGCTGTATCTCACCAGTCCCATTGGAATGTCCCTTCTTACAGGAAGGCGATGGATAAAGCAGATGTTCATCGGAGCCTTCCTTATTCCAGCAATGGTGTGTGGGACTGCCTTCTTCATCAACTTCATTGCCATCTATTACCATGCTTCAAGAGCTATACCCTTTGGAACCATGGTGAGCTTTTTATTGGAGAATTTAACTCCACAGAAAAACGACCTGTTTAAAAAAATCTAAATATAATTTGAGTCATAGCTTTAGCTTCCTAGTTAGAAATTTATTATGGGAGGGGTTTAAGGTTTTTCAAGTAGAACTCATTTTAGTCACAATAACAACTACTGGATGCTGAAAACACTTTTCTCTCTGCTTAAAGTGAGACTTCTGCTTTTCATTCACACTTAGTGTTTCAACAGCATGGAAAGTTAACAACTTGAATTTCCTTCTGGATGGCCAATGCAAACTATATAAATAATATAAATTATAATTATATAATATATAATTATAATATAATAAAAACTGTATTTTATGATATAATTTTCTATTATAAAATATAATATATTATTAATATAAATATGTTATATTATATTATATTATATTAATATAAAATTAAATACAAAGAGATTCCAAGAGAAAGATACTTCTAAGTCATTGTAATCCAGCAAAAAAAAAGGAAATAAATCGTCAGGCAACAATATAAGACATTTTGAGCAGGTTGCTCTCTGCAGAAATTACTCACTCTTCGCACTTTGGTTAGTGTTATTTAGTACCCAGTTGGGGTTTGTGTCTCTACATTTACTCTATGCTGGTTGTAGTACTGTTTCATTTAGTCATGATGACTTTGCCTATTTCCTTTGTCTTTTGTCAGGATTTAGTTTGCGTTGGCCCCTTTCAAGGAACCTCAAATAATCCTGTGAATAAAATGTAGGAGATAATCACTTGCCACTTGGGCAGAATTTCTGTTTGAGCTTGTAAGGGTTAGTGTTTTAAAGCAGAAATATTTTTGAAATATGCACCATAAAGTTGCTTTTTCTAATTTTGTGCAGTAGCACCATTAACTTAAAAGAGTATTTTAATACAGGAAGTCTTGTTTTCTTTTCAATATCTGTAGCAAATCTTGGAATTTAACATTTTTTATAGATTTCTTTTTTGCATWTCAGTTTTTGTGATGTGTTCTTCAAACCATTTGGAGACATTTGAGCAGCCTTGGATTTCTTCTTAGTTTAAATCTACCACAAATTAAGCTTTGTAAAAAGTTGCTCTCTTACATATTGTATTATTTGGGTTATAATTGAATTCAGTATGTGACTGAAAATACTTCTGAAGAACACATTTTTAATAAATGAATGTAATATACATTATAAATGATAACAGGAAGAGAGACAATTTCAGTTTCAGGCAAAGACTTCCAATAATTTTTTACTGATGGAGGAGTCATTCTATTCATGTTGCTGGTTCTAGTCACCTCCTTATTAACAGTATCTTCAAAGCATCCCTAAATACCAAATTTTACATTGAATGCATTTTTATAKAACCTCTAAATGTAATATAAAGCTGAACATGTTTATAAACTCTATCTTTGAATATGTTTGCATTAGTTGGTCAGTTCCCAAAGCAATATTGTGTTGTTTTTTTCTTTCCTACACTAGCAGCCATACAATACTGTCATAAAAGTTTGCAGCATTGATCTTTGATATGTGCAAAGAGGCTCTGTTTTGCTGCTAAGCAGGCAGTTATGATATCACATTTCTCACTTGTATTCCCATTTGGAGGCCAGGCATGCTGAGGGAAGGCAATTCCACCTGTGCTGAAATTTGTATTTGTGAATTTGTTCCACTGATTTGTATTTTAAGATCATGGGCACGTGCATGCAAAAGCAAATGGATATATAAATCTTCAGGGTTCACTTAATCAGGATGTTAGGACTCTATACACAGTGATTTTAATGTTTGCAAGGTTTTATGAAAGTGTTTGAATCATTGTGACTGTGGCAATAAAACTTAAGTGGAGTTAGCAGGCAAGCAGGTTATGAATCGGAAATTTCATCAGAATGAGCAACGCTCTGATGGCTTCAAATCAACAAGCTGGTTTGTAGAAGGAAATGAAAATTGTTTGCAATTACCATGTTATGCTTCAGGTTGAAGTCCCCAGGAAGCCCTCTGGCTTTACRGATAAGATCCTGTTGTGTTTTTCCACCTCTGTTTTCTGTGTAAAGAAGCTTCCATGATGCAAACTTGCTGCTGATTTCTTGGGGAAATAAAACCTCTGCCATCTAAACATACTAGAACACWAAAATAACATCCTGTACCTGTCTTGAAACCACCCTCCTTGATTTAAATTGCTGGCAAATATTGCCCCCTCATTTTGACTGGTGTAAATCTGGAAAAAGCRGAAACTGAGTTGCTGGAAAAAGTCCCTTAGCTTAAAGGTTGCTGAAAGACTATTGTTAAATAAGTCATCCTGTACTTTGCCACTTCCCAGTGAATTATCTGAGTAGTCTCTGTGACTTAATTCTACCCTTCAGAGAGATTTTCCTATGGAATCTAGGCAAGGACAGCTGACAGAATCAAATCCAGGCAATCTAAACTAACACCCAGTTGCTGCATGTTCCATCTTCCTGGTATCTGCTCTTCTACACTTCGTCTTGAAATCCTCAAATTGATTGGGCTCTTCAGGCCCTGCATGCATCTCACTGTCGTCGTAGCCTGTTTTGAACTTCAAAACTTCATTCCTTTTTTATAAGTCATTCCTGGTGTTTAGATCTCCTTGAAGATGTGGCAGAGCCTGGGAAGATGCAAAGCTTGTTTCTGAAATCAGTGTTCGCTCTTGGGACTCTGCCTTTAGACCTTTTGGATATACTTGCAAGCTGTCTTACCTGTGGAGTGACAAACCTTCTGCAGTAAAATACCCCATGAGCATGAGCAAAAGCTTAATCTCTTCCTAGGGATAGCACTCAGCTGCCCTTCCCTTCAGAATGAAATCAAGAATGTGGCAGATTTTATTCAAATATGAGAGCTTTTTAAAACTTAATGCATTGAAGCTTTTAACTCCCCAAGCATATGAAGGAGATACAAAATCTGCTTTTTTTACTCATCTTTTCACTTTTATAGAAGTGCAGTGGGTACTGTTCAATTATTAATTTCTTCAGAGCCCTTTTTTTTTTTTTTGTGTTTTGTTTATTATATCCTGTTACTGGTGAACATTGAGTTCTGAAGTTGTTCTACATCTTGACACACTTTCTGTTGATGTCGATCTGTCTTTTCAATGTATTTACCAATCATCTTTACTTTTTTGTGTTTGAATTATATGTRAAAAATGGAGCATGGAAGATTTAAGAAAAATTTTAAATACTGGTATGTGAAGTGACTTCTCCGTAATATGTTTGAGGAGTATGGTACTAGTTCAGTGCAKAAATACTGAGTAATGCAGAATTTCTACAGCATAATTGAATTTGAAGGGACCATTTTAATTCTGGCATTTCCTAAGTTTTGACTGCTTACGTTGTTCTGTGAGTGATGCATAATTTAAAGATTTCCATTAAGGCTACTATGACTAATGTAATATTCTGACTGCAGAATCTATACAGCTTCTATTAACTGTTTTAAGATGCACCATTTTTGTTTTGTTTGAGCAGTTGRTTCCTTTGAGGCTAACGTTTCCAGTGTGCATTTTTAATGATTTAATTAAATAAGGTTAAGCACACTGTATATCTTTTGGGATTGAGACCCTAGTGTATGCATCTTTTGTACCTTGTTCTGAAAAGAAAAAAGTGTTTGTTCCAGCAGTTAGCTTAATTCCAAGCTGCAGCTTCCCTGACAACTTTGAGTTGGTACAAGTATTCGCTGCCACTGAAAATAAGGGACCTGGTTGTGCCAAAGATTTTCATGCCTTGAACTAGACAAGGAAACACACCTAGCTAAAAATAGAAAAAAAATCGTGTTRCATATGTTCAGCAGAGTGCTTCCTCAAAGTGCTTGAAAGTAACTGTGGAACCCTTGGTCATACCACTTAGTTCTGCTAAAAATAGGCACAGCTTAATTCTTCTGCCTGCATTTTCAGTAGTTCAATTTATTACCCAGAGCAACACCCTAGATTAACAACTTCGATGTAATAAAATTAATAACGCTCTATTTTGAGGCCTTTTATTTTGTTCTTGTTCTTGTAATGTTTGGATGGTGTGCAGAAAACTTGCATTATACAAATTTAGTAACCTCTATATGGGAAAGAGTCTCTTGACTGAGAGTGCATTTTGGTAGCTGACAGGGAACATCAAGCTGCTGCTTTGACAGTTAATTTTTACTGCTTTTCTTCCCTGTGCATTAAGCAGTCAAGGCACCATAGCCTGCCAGTAGCTGTTTAATATTAGATATGCTCATAAAAATTTTAATTATCACCTTTGAATCAAGTTTAATCTACAGTTGTCAGAAAATATGAAACACATGGCACTAGGAAATAAATTAGATCCCTCTTGACAATGTTTCCTTTCAAATATGGAAAACTGAATTCTGCACGTTCAGTCGAGGACAGAATATTCTTTCTCCATCAAAACAAAAAGGAGTTAGAATGCAGRCTTGGTGAGGTTGACAATCTCCTATGGCGACTAAAACCTGCAAACTAAATTAGCTGCTAATGTATAAAATATTTTGTATTGCAAAATTGCAACAGTCAAAAGAAGTGGTTTTTTGTCTACTGGCTTGGTACAAAAACGCTTGTAATTTGTCTTGAGTAATATTGTAGAGAACCTGTGTCTGTTTGCTTGATGACAAAATGGGTTTGAAGATGTAATATATTTGCCTCTTTGCATAATTTGTGTTTCATGAAGTAGTAGTTAAAATGATTCTCTGAATTTCTCATGGCTGATGTTACAGTAATAGTTTTCTTAAAAGGCTGATAAAGACATAATTTTCTTATCTCTGCCTGTCACACAACTACTGTTATTGGGGTCTGTTTGTTTTAGTATGTTGTCAGTGGCCTAGGCAGGGAGGCTTCTGCAGGAGGGAGGAGCAGGTATGTGTGTTGATCTTGTCTTCATTTCTGCTTTGCATTTGTGATAGTGGAGGCCATCAAGTACCTGAACTGCTTTTCCTGTTGTGTTCTTACTGGTGGATACCTTTTAGGCAGAAATCTTGTAACTTCATCTTTAAGACACTTGTTACCCCAGTGACTGTTTTTGCATCAGTTAGGATTTAGACTCTGTTGGTTTGGATATTGCCCAGCCTGCAGCATCGCTGTCCTTGCCCAACCTTGCACTACCTTGTTTCAGCAGTCATCAATCTGAGGAGGTAGATTACCATGAGTCAAGACAGCAAGAAAGAAGATGCTACTGAGTTTAACATGGTGTGTACAACMAGTACCAGTTTCGTTGGTCAACTTACTAAGACCAGCAGGTTACTGTCACCAGGGTGGTCTTACCTCAATAGAAAGAATATTCACATCTTCTTCATTTTGGACAGCTTACCAGAGCCAGGTGGGAGTAGGAGGCATTCCTCAGCCTGTGCTGTTGTTCRTCCTTGTTTGCCTAATTGGGTCTCCTTTGCACTGCAGAATTATCTCYGATAATTTTTAGACTCCTGAATGGCTCCAGGATAAAAGGGAAAAAATGTACTTCACTCTCAGGAGTCCTCAGAACACAGCATAGCATTAAGATAGATGGCATTTCACTGTCTAACAAAATGTTGACTTTATCTAATGCTGCTTACTAGATATCACTGGAGATGCTGGGTGTTCTGTCAAATCAGTTCATTTTTCAGCCGAGTAACAGAATATAAGATGTTACACTATTATCAGTCATACTATTTGATCTGATAGTGAAACCACAAGCACTCAGATTTTCTGGTGGATGCCAATTTTAAGTGTACTGGGGACATTTGCTGTACTTACTGAAGTCATTATTCAAGGAACCTTGGTCTGTCTCAGCTTGTTTTATGCAGATGAACATTTTAGATTTGAAAGCTACTGCTGAATCAATTTCCTGGATAACACAACAGCCAAGCCCTGCTGGATCAAGGAGGGCTTTGTCCTTGCCCACCTGATTTGAAGCCACTCGGCTCTGCAGAGGATGTCACTAGAAGCAGATGCTACTGACAGCTTTTTTTTATCCAAGAGTTTGCCAGCTAATCAGTAATTAGGCCTGGATGTTGCTTGCTTGGTTCCTTGTCCAAGGTTATATTTTTTCTATGTCAATTCTGTAAAACTGACAAATTCTGCAAAATGGAAGAATACAAGACCCTAGGTGTTGTTCTAGGGGAGCTCAGAGCCCAAAGCTGTTCCTGGGCAGTTTCTTGATGCAGTAAAGCAGTGGATTCCCTTTCTACTATTGTTGCCAGTCAAGGAAAGTTTACAAAATAAATGAAACTACAATCTTCTTAAAACCAGCACTATAAAAGAGAGTTGTGGCTGCATGAGCAGTACAGATGCCCTTTCACACTGCGTGGGTTTGAGCTTTCTGTCTCAACCAGGTGGGAAATCTACCTGCCCGAGCACCACCACAGAGCACCATGGACAGGGGGCATGTTACACATATGGAGGGCATTGCTGCAGGAAGCAGAGCACACCCTTCTTGAAAACAGAAATGGTTTCAGTATGTTCAGCTCAGAAATTCTTTGGATCCTATYCAAGCCTTAATTCTTGAACATCTCTTCTACCTGCTGCACTTCAAACAAGCTGGGGCTTTTTGGTGAGGATTTTAATAAATGTAGCACTCAAGATTATGTTCTKTGATATTCCTGATACTTTTTGACATTTTTCTCTGAAAATTCTCATCTGCTCATTCATTTATACTGAGCAGTTTTCAAGGGCAGAATCTGCATCCATTAATTGAGTAAGGTGTATGCTTCTCCTGAAATTTATTCTTAGGCAACCTGCTTAAAACATGCCTGCTTACCCGTGTTTTTTGAGTAATGGAAGAAGTTAARTGGCAGATACTAAATTAATTGTGTAAAAACTGCTTTACTCTTATTATTTATACTGCAAGTGYAAGTACAACTTAGTGTCTCCTTATTTACCAGTGAAGCTTCATATTTTAGTGGCTCATGAAGTAATTCTTTAATAACCTCTCCTCAAAAATATACAGAGCAGTCTGGAAAGTGCTTCTGCTTGTTGACCCACCAGTTTGGTGTACCCCTCCTGTGAAGCATGAAGGCTTGCTCCATCCAATCCCAGGCAATGTTTTCCCTTCACATCTGCCCTAAACTAGCCAGTAATAGAAGAATAACCTACTGACTTTAGCCAARTGTTGCCTTAAATTTGTGTGATTCRCCTAATGCTAAGTTTGTATTGACTTAATGTCCTTTTTTCTTTTCAGCTGCTTGCAGTAGATTTCTTAGATCCAACCTACATGAGCGGCTTTTATTTATCYTTAGAGTAACTGCTTCTTAAGCAAGTCAATGTGTGCTCTTAGATGTATTCCTYTGTCTGTTGTTTTGCATTAATTGCTGTCATGGACTTTGCATTCTGGTGGACTAAAGACAAATGTAGCTCCTTTGCTCAGGAGGCACCAGGATGTACACAGAGCCTCAGGCAACAAAGCCATTAAAAGGCAGTATTTTCATATGTTTGCATAGAAAAGGTCACWGGGTCAGTATTCAGAACTGTGGTGATTGCATTATGGGCAACTGTTCTGTCTTTAGTTATCAATATCAAAAAGTTACCAAACTGTCTAATGCTAATTCATTTTGTGCTACAGAGTTACGAGTATATAACGTCTTGCTAAACACTTGAAATGTTCCTATTTTGGAAGATAAATTGTGTTGACTTTAAGGAGTAGAAAAAATGAAGCTATAGAAGTATACTAGCAAAAAAAGATTCATGATAGATTTTTAAGGAGGCTGTTTCAATGGAAAGGKCTGGAACATTGGCTTGACCTTTCCTGCATTGTGCATGAACTTGATTTCTATATGTAAGTAGAGTCTTTGTGCTTCTAAATTGTGTATCTTTGCATACCAGTAGTCACTGGTTTCTTTGTCAGTGTTTTTAATTGCCTGGTTCATGCATAGTGGAAAAAAATTGAACCCAAAGTTGAATCAAAATTGGTAGCATTCTGACATAGTTTCTGTGATTCTTACTGGGTTTTTTGTTTGGTTGTTTCATTTTAGGATTATTTTTGATTGGGTTAAAAATTTTGCACACAGCATTTGTAATTTTGTGTGCAACTGCATAACTGCTGGATGTTAATTTCCAGGGATAACACTCTGCAAAAGTGTAAAACATGCTGACAGCGCTGTTATGAAGTACCATGAAGTTTCCTTTTATTTCTTGTGCAGTGTATTGAGTATAATGATCAGATGGAAACAGTAAAACAATCTATAATGGTTCTGTTCTSTGAACTGATGCATGAAAATATACTAAATGATGTTTATTAGAAAGTTTCTCGAGCCAAAAAAGCTTCAGTTTGATAAAATACATGACTAATGCTTCATAACTAGGAGTATGATTCTACAGCAATAACTACTAAGGACTAATATGGGTTGGTCATCTTCTATKGTTGTCTTACACCTTTTTTTTAGTTATAACTTCTAATTTTTTTGCTTGCAGGTGGCAGTGTGCTGTATTTGTTTCTTTGTCATCCTTCCATTGAACCTTGTTGGGACGATTCTTGGCCGAAATCTGTCAGGACAGCCTAATTTTCCATGTCGTGTCAATGCAGTGCCTCGTCCTATACCRGAGAAGAAATGGTAAAGACAAGCATGAGCGTTAACTAGAAGTATTCAGTACATTTAAAATGAGTTTTCAGGTGTTCCGTTTTAATGGAATAACTTCTTTYATTTAAATTGAGTTGTGCCTAGAAGAACCACTCATCTGACATTTTCTTAATATGATTTTTCTTTTTAATTAAAACACCATGATTAATAGTTGTAGCAGATTTTACACTCCAGGATCACTGGTTCACATTTTGCCTGAAATGCTCTTTAATCCCTGTGTAAAGGGGATGGTCCCARTTCAGTTCTTGTATAGGTATATTGACACTAAAACCTCTTTTCAGTTAATGCCTCATACAGATTTAGGATTGAATGTGCCTTGGAGGCAGAGCTGTTCTGATTAATGGTCTCCATACACAAGCTGAGACATTTGCAGGGTTATGGTGGGGAGAAACTTGAAATGCTGTTCCTATTTCTGTACTTTTGTTGATGGCTCAGAGCCTAAAATATTACAGGTATATGGTTTAAATTGTGAAGAAGCCTTTATTATTTTTGAAGTGAATATAAAGGGGCTCCTAGTTCAAAAAGTRTACTTAGGTTTTTGGAAAAACTATGAATGCAATCAATTTTTCCATTAATTTAATTCTGAAGTGGAAGCAGCAAGCTACGGAAATTAAAATATCCTCAGAGGATTTTTTAATAGATTTTTCTTGCTTTCCCTGCTCAGAGGAATGGAGCAGAGAAAGTGAAAGGGGCATTGAAACATGTAAATCTGTGATGTCCAGGAAGTGCAGCACACATGAGTGTGTCTTGTTAGTGGTGGATTCAGCTCAGCTGTTAGAATGGAGTTAAATTGTGACTTGTAGCTTGGGAATCTGATGGATTTTTCTGGATGACACTTAAAAAARTAAAAAATACTTCTCTTGATGATGATGAAGTAGCACACCATCATTTTAGGCAAGTCTCCCTATAAATAATAAAAGAAGCTGCAGATTAAATCACTGGTTACTAGCTGGGTTCAGCATCATTGCAAGTACTACAGAGAGGTCGCATTTAGTAAGTGACCTATAGGTAGMTGGGTATTCATTTTTAGCTATATGTTCATCAATCAGTGTAGCATTAAAAATGAGCACTACTTCTTAATTATGTAACCATTATCCTATGAAATTTTTCTTGCACTTTTTTGGTAGCCGTCTACAGCACYGTGGTTTCACTGCCTTCATTCAAGGCTAGTGGATGTTGTGGGCTTGATTGCTTAGGCCCTTTTTAGTTAGAAAGATTCTTTCTGTGGCCTTAAAGCTGGTTRGATGGCTAACCTTATGCCTGTAGGTGATAGGCACAAGCCTCATATTTTGTTTCAGCTTTCCCCAAGAATAACTTCTTCTTTTATCCATACACATGACATTTTTGAGGTAATCTTTCCAGTCTGCTAGTATGAGACAGAAATGTTCTTGTTAGCATGCCTTTTAAACAATGCTCTGTACTATGTTAGTTATCTTGTCATAATATTTTGATAAATGAAAAATTTCGGTCGTCCCTAAACTAATCCTAATATCTTTCAGGTTCATGGAACCAGCTGTTATTGTTTGCCTAGGTGGAATCCTCCCTTTTGGATCAATTTTTATTGAAATGTGAGTACATCAGCTGCTTCCCACCTTGACTAAAAATTACAATTTAAATTAAATTACAATATCATCTACATATTCTGTTTACTCTCTTCAGGTATTTCATTTTTACTTCATTCTGGGCTTACAAGATCTACTATGTTTATGGCTTTATGATGCTGGTTCTGGTTATCCTCTGCATTGTGACAGTTTGTGTGACCATCGTTTGTACATATTTCCTGCTAAATGCAGAGGATTACAGGTGGTAAGTGTGSCATTGCTTTTCATAGTTAACCAGATTGTGAGACTTTGTAGAAAAGTAGTGTTTCTTCAGTCTAGATGGGTCTTTTCCAAGTGCTTTGTGCATCTTCTGGGGAAGCCTTTTGGCYCATTGTATGATGGACATGCGTGTTTACTTTTAGGCAATGGACAAGCTTTCTTTCTGCGGCATCAACTGCGATTTATGTTTACATGTACTCCTTTTACTACTACTTTTTCAAGACAAAGTAAGTGATAGTTTTCTTAGTTGAATATCAGATTACYGTATTGCCAAATAAGTTTTATTGGTAAAAATCAGGGGAAATACCTAGCAWAAATTTCTGTCTTTCTTTTTCAGGATGTATGGCTTGTTTCAAACATCATTTTACTTTGGTTATATGGCAGTATTTAGCACAGCTTTGGGAATAATGTGTGGTAAGTTCCAGATATTTTGACAGTTTTCTTACAAATTTTTTCAGACTCATATTTCTGACTTTAGTTTGTGGTTTTGGTGCTGGAATGTGTATGTCTGCCAGATCTGTTCAAGAAGTCTTTAAGAAGAATCCAAAGAGTTTTCTGCTTATACTTTGTTCCTACCTTATATAGAAGATTGCTATGGATTGTGTCTTCTGATARGAAGAGAATTTATGCACTGTGCAGAGAATTTCACTCTTAGTGCAAGCTTGAAAGACTCAGTATTTGGCAAGAAATCATGCAGAATAAGTTCCAAMTAAAGTTTTGCTTTGAAATTTTTCCTGTCGCCTGAGAGAAGGAGCTAGGTGCACCTATTGAGGCATCAGTGGTAGCACAATACTGATGACAGTACCATCTGTGTCTTGTGGAATGTSTATGTCAGTGTGAGAAGAACAGAGGACTGAAAACTCGAAGGTAACATTTGAGAAATGAGTAATGGAGTATTTACAGGCGAGGAGAGTGCAGGGTGCTTCTGTGTGCAGCTGCATTTTGTTGCTTTTTAAAATACTATTTTGACAGATGTTTAGTGAAAACATAATTTTGATAAAGCCAAACACTTGTTTGCATGTTAACTTTATAATTTCCTTTGTGATTTTCAGAAAGTGCTTCTTGATTCTTTTGCACTTTTCTAYAATATTGGGGTTTTGTGAGTAATCTTTATTTAGTACTGCATAGCAGTGAATGAATAGTCCTATAGCTACTGGGAAGATTCCTTGGAATTGTATTTGAGACACAGGAGATGTTTCATAGGAACTTCTGTAAAGTATACATTTCTTGATATCTCAAGAGGGTGGGTGATATCACAATGCTTTACAAAAAGGGGAGGGAATTCTTTGCTTAACAGCTAAGTACCTGTTCCCCTTTTTTCTCATACCATCTAATCTTGCTTCATCAGGTTCTTGGCACATTTCAGGACCTCCCTGCTGTTTTGGTAGTCTTGCAGCCATTTTTTCTCTTTAATAGGCTTTTATACTTTTCAGCTCTAATGTTTTCTTTCTAAARTGCTCAGGCTGGTATTGATTGAAATGTCTATGGTGCAGAAGCCAAGYTTGCCCACCAGTTTCTGTAATTAAAATGTGTTTTAAAACATGGAAGATTGTCAAATGCTTTYTTCTCATGGTAGGACACTATTTGATGAAATTAGAGTAAAATCCAAATTTTTCGAAAACAGAAAATACTTTAGCGCACTAAACTTTATTTCCACATCTCCATTGAGATTTCTTTTTTTAAGTGTGTTGGAAGAGAAGCTGTGAGATTCCTTTTTACTGAGAACTCCCATTTTCAGCATGTGGAGTGGAGGAAAAAAATCTCCTGTCAGAAAGCATTTATATAGGGAACTTGCAGCCATTGAGGTCTAACAAAGACATYTGTGTTAAAGAATTGTGCAGTGTGTGTGCAGCTGACTGTAGGTCTCCTGTGAAAAGTGTGTGGAGCTGTTCTTTGGAGGCTCACACAAGTGGGTGTGTTGGGTATCATAGTTGGATATGAAGTGAACTACTTAGGGCCCAAAGCAGCCACAGGGAAACTCTGTAGGCGTGGTTCATCCAACTCTGGGCTTGATGCCCTTGACAATGCCTAGGGAACTCAATCCCACACGTAATGGGATGCTTTGATCCACAAAGTTTGCTGCCTCTCTGCAGAGCATCTTAATTCTAGGACTGGACACTAGGGAGCCCATGAGAATTTCCAAAYCTTTTGAGCGCCTCACATTTCCCTCTTAGTGGCAGAAAAAAATAAGACTCATTTCCCACTTAGTGGAAGGCTTACGAGCTACATAGCATAGAAAGGCCTCTTGCAGTACCATACTTCAGTGTTCAAGTAAGTACCGTAACTATACTTAAAGAGCTTTTAAAAAATTCTGGTGCTTACAAAGTCAGAACTGTAGTAATTGGTAATTGGTTTGAAGTAGTTGATGGGAATTCATCTTTTTTTGCTTTGTGGTTGTTCATCCTCAGTATTTGAATTTTTTTTCCCTTTATTTAAAAGTTTGTTGTTCTGCTGAAATATGTTTGCAGTCTATTTCTGCTAAAACTATATGGACCATAACCAGGTTATAAATAGCATCTGGTAAGGTGTTCAATAAATAAATAAAATATTTCCCTTTACTATGTTTTTTTGTATTCAGATGAGCCAGCTGCGCTGCAATTTGATTCAGGAGGACATTCTTTAGTCCTCATTGCCCAGGGTTTCTGCCTCCCTGCTCCATGTTTTATTCAATGCCTGTGAAGTAGCCTTGAGGCTTAACCCCTGCCTTGGGTATTGGCTATTAGTGGCCTTCAYGGTTAAGGCTCCTCTCTGATTCAGAATAGGTTATGATTTGTTTATGGGGATGAGAGCTTGTGTGCTCATGTGTACTACTCTACTCTTCCCCCTCACTTCCATCTCGCACATTCTCTAAATCCCAAGTGAAATACAGTTAATGCTTTGTTCTCTGAAATCTCTGTGATACCTGGCATCACATCACTAGAGAGACTCTCACAGAACAAGCTCTGGAATGTATCTCACTTTAGCAGCTGAAATGGGCATTGGATCTGTTGGCAGTGTTTGCTTTCACAGGAAGAACCTGGTGAGTCTTAAAGGAGGAGTGCAGTGCCATTCTTTTGTTCCTTTGCTTCATAAGACAGAAGATTAATTTCTTGACAAGCTGCAGAAAAATTTGTATGTGCTTCTGTGTGACTCCAAGCTCACATCACCTCTTCACAGCCCACATTGGGTCTGTCCAAATGCTGCACTGGTCTCTCCTCGAACAGCCAGGCCTTCCTTCTGCTGCATCCTCAGCTTGCTTGCAGGAAACAACCTGATCTTGTGTGCACTGTACTTGTTTTAAATGAACTCTACTTTGTCAAGGTTAGTAATGCAAATCCCTCGTTTCCTGGCCATTGRAATGGTTGCCATGATATTTATACAACTTGGAGTGCTGTGCTATACCAAAGCTGACTCCACAGGCTCTTTACTGCTCCAAGGACATTGGAATGATTTATCAGATTTGCCTTGTGCAGATTTCTTGATTAGGCTTGAATGGTGGGCTTTTGAGGGTCTAAAAATCAAAACTTTGTGACAGTTTAATGGCTGACTTCATAAATTATCCCATCAGCCTCCAGGATATAAAGAACTCTTCAGGATCTGAATAATTCTGTAGTCAGCAATGCCAGATGCAGATCTGTACACCCTTTATATGTAAAGGCACTTTATATTTTTACTGGAAAATGGAAGTTTGGCATAAAACTTTTAGCATTGATTAGACTTTTCTATTTTACATGTCTTCTGCAGTTCTGGTGCATTCTAGTTCACTGCAGTGCATTGTCCTGGGCTTTTCTCTATTGCTTCAAGGAAGGAAAAATCTCTTCAGAGTCTGTTCTTTACCAAGCATCCGAGCATTTAAAGTTAGAAATTCTCTGTAGTGATTTATAGACCTTGACTTCTCTATCCATTCCATGTTTTATGACTGTGTTGGCAGTCAGACAGCAGTTGTCTCAAATTCTTGCTTGATTTTCAACTTCACTTCAAACATGATTAGCCAAAACGACTCACTCTTAGTGTGCTTGGAAGAGATGAAGACATTCCCTGCTGATATTATAAGGCCACAGTATTTATTGATGCTGGCAAACCTGAGGTTCTGGGTTTGACCACGTAGGTTGCTGAATCTCTTCCTGAGAAGCCTTAGTCCAGTGCATTTCTTTAAGTTTTATAGATGTCCTTAATACTGCAGTATTTTGGGTTTAGCTTAAACTGTTGCCCCTATCAAAAACCCAGTGACCTGTTCTTTTATTACTGCTGTGACAACGCATACTTTGCTCATGACTCTTACTAATTTGAAAACCACAGGTTGCAATTTCTTTTAACTACTAACTGCTACTTGTTAATGTCTTTGTACAGACCTCCTTAGAGTGTAAGAGTCCTGGGACTGGCATCTATTATTATTTGTGCCTTGTGGGAGGGAAGAAGCCATCTGCCAATAAAACACTCATCCAGAAGGCATGTAACTTATAATAAAAACCCACCCTCTCATCCACCTTCCCTGCAGAGTGGGTGATTGTATGTTTTTTACCCTCTGTTCAGAAAAAATGGACTTGGTTATTGGCAGCAGTAGGGGGSCTGCTATATTTATCAAGGCCAAGTGAGCATGGCCTCTTGGTAAGATGGCTTAATGGATTTAGATTGCTAGACAGGGGAAGTTCCTGCCAGCTGTTCAGGGGGAGCATGGATAATTAGAGTTTGAGAACAAATATTGCAGGTGGAGAAGTTTCTGTGTGCAGAGTACACGCTTTATGTGACTTTCTCTGCTTAGGAGTGTGTGGTTTATRTTGCTGTCTTATTTTGATGATCAGTGCTCTAACATATTCAATGTTTTTTGTTTATTTTGCAGGAGCTATTGGTTACATGGGAACAAGTGCCTTTGTTCGTAAAATCTACACTAATGTGAAAATTGATTAAGGAACTAAGAAAATAGAACTATGGATCAGCTCCTGTTTTCCTGGGGATGAACTTGCACAGCAAAAAGCGCGAGAAGAGATTTGGGTTTTAACACTGGGCACTATATGGGTCTCCATTTTGTGGATGGCTTAAAAGTAACATCTATTTCATTGATCCTAGGTTCTTACTGACTGCTTTCTCCAACTGTTCACAGCAAATGCTTGGATTATATGCAGTAGGCATTACTACAGTACGTGGCTAATCTTTCCCCCCCAAAAAAAACAACATCAAAAAACAAAAAGCCTAGCTCATTAAAGATGAATAGACTAGCTCTCTTCAGTGAAGAGGACAAACGGTTTGTTTGAAGCATTTGTTCCATTCAGTAAAAAGAGGGAAACTTGGCTGCTAAAACTACTTGATTAGTAGTCTTCCTGGTACTCAACATTTCTAAATTATGTAAAAATGCTGTTCCAGAAAGATTACTCTTCTGATTTTTACTGCCATTGCCAGGATAGGAGGTATGTTTTGTATTTTGAACTCCAGGTGCTTTTTGGTTTATTTGCAATATCAACTACCCTACACTCATTTGTTTAAAAAATAATTTAAAAATATATAAACCCCCCCATATGCATGTAATATATCAGCTGTCGTTCTAGTTGGACCAACTTCCCTTTATTTATCTTTAAAGTAATATCCAGCTACATCTTAAATCCATCCAAAGAAAATACAGTCTGAAGACGGGGTGTGTTCTCTGCAATGCAATTTACTGTACAGTTAGAAAGCAAAATGTTAAATGAAGAGGATTGTTTGTTTTTTAATAAACACTCTGAGGTCTAGATTAAAACAAAACCAACATTTTAACTGAATGTCTAAAGTGATTCTCCTTTTTTCCAAGTTAGTCTTGYATATTCTTTTTTGGGTTTGGGTTGAATGAAGATTTTCCTTTAGACATCATACAAGGGGTAATAAGTGTATATAACATTAAATAATGTAACTTAGGTGTAGATCCCAAATGTATTTGGATGTACAGATTTACTACAGAGTACTTTTTCTGATGATTCGGTGTAAAAATGTGTGAATTCGGGTGGCTTTTTACATCTTGCCTGCCATTGCATGAAAAGTTGGGGTTTCTTCACAATGTGTGTATGTCATGTTTTTCTGTTCTATTTCTCAAGCTCTTACAGGAATTAAATTTGTAATTTAGAACATTTTCATTTTTGTTAATCCTATCTGAACACTTGTGTAACATCAAAAGCATAGTTGCTTTAGAGTGTTCAGAAAACTAAAATAAACTTTTCAGACAAAAATGTTTTGATTGTGAAAATAGATGAGTTTGCAATTGAGAGTGTTTGAAAAGGCAATACTGCTGAGCACCAGTTTCTGTATACARTATTAGTGTGGTTTTCATCTATCAAACCCCCATGCTTTGAATTCAGAATTTGCTTACAACTGTATTGTACAATACAACTCCCAAGTGAATGACCAACCCGAAAAGATTCTTCTTGGCTGTGGAGAAGTGTTTTGTGATCCAGCCAGTGTACTGGGGAAAGGGGGGGTAAGCGTGGACTGAAATAAATGGGCAAATAAAGGTTAAGTCTTTCTAAGATGACTGTTAATTATGCACTATATTTAGCTAGAAATATCCTGAATGTGTTTGTGACAGATTTGAGAGCCACTTGGCTTGATTTTCTCGGGTTTTTTTTATAGGCATCTGCCATGTAGGGATGTTTTCATCATTGTGGCTGTCTGAAATAGAGCACCTGCCATGGAGAAGGAAACTCCCTGAATTTAAAAAAAGAGCCAAGTATTGGTACAGATTAGCACTGTACTGTCTSTATATAAAAAGTACTGATAATGCAGTAGCCACAGTGAGAAACATCCGTCTCTTGGTAGGGTTGTTGTGTTGGAGCTTGGGTGAACTGTGCAGGTAGGTAATGATGGGAAACAGTGCATCCTGCTGTGTGTGGCTTCTGAAAAGTATTAGAGCTTTCAGCTCTGATTTCCCTGGCCAATTTTAACCAATCTGYCAGAAAATAATTAAGTTTTGCTTCAAGTGAATCATTAGTGTCTGTAGGTGAACATGGAAACTTAAAGCAAAGACTGGATTTTGTACTAGTACTTGCTAGTACATACAGCTGTGGGAAGCCCTCTTTTCATCCATRTTCTTCTAAATCTGAAGTGAGAAGCCATTATCTGCACACAATAAATACATTAAGTACTCTGCCAAGATAAAAGTTTTTAAAGGGAATGTTTTGATAATGGGTCTGCTTCTCTATTTAGAACACTGCTATGTGATTAGTATATGAGAAAYTTCACTAAATCGTTTGTGAATTTCATTTAATTGCTTTTTAATGCCACAGGTTGGTGGGCTGCYTATTTGCCTTTTCTATCTTCTGGCATTACTGTCTTTTGCATATCCAGATAGGATTGTATATCTTCTAAAGTGACATTGAAAAGATACTTACTGCACAGGCATTGCTTTTGTTTCTGCAAGCAAGTTCCTCCGGAGAAATACTGTGTTTAAATAATTGACATTTTTTTATACAGCCACCCTAGCACCTAGTAAGTTGGGAGTTTGCTTTGTTTTCCCCCTTTTGGTTTTTGAAGGAGTGCAAAATGTGACCAGTTTTCAACAGCTTGTCTTTATGGTTGCTGTTTGGGGCAAGGCTGTTTGCCCCCCTTCCCYCTCCTTGCCCTCCTCCCCAAAAATGTGGGTCTAGCTTGAACCATCTTGCTTAATAGAAATTGGAAGCTCTCTGCTTAGATGATGTAGTCCTTCCTCTTTTATGGAAGAAATAAAGATCTTACAGACAACACTCCTCTTACCATGGTTGTTTCTTCAGAGTTTCTGGTTCTTGAATTTAGGCATTTTGGTAACTCTTCAGTGCTTCTCTTCCCACTTCTGGTACTGGGGCCAGGGATTTGGTACATAGTTGCATAACAGCTAATCGTGACCAAATGTTTTAGATAAATACAGTCGTACATCTTTTCAGTTGAGGCAGAGTGCACATAGAAAGCACTGCTTTAATTCATATATGAAAAGTGGTGAACACTGGATTGGAGAGAATGGAGACAGCAAATAAACATTACATTGTACTCTTTTTGATGTCTGAATGTTTTGAAGCCACCGTGTCTGTTAATTCCTCTCAAGAATTACATTCCAAAGTGTGTGAAGAGCACACAAATTGTTTTTTTGTAGAACTGTCTAGGTGTATTTCTTTAACAAGTTTCAGGTTAAAAAACAAGCCCAAAACACTGACGCTTTCTATGCTTAAGGTACTAAAACAGTAAAATTGATAGCACATTCTTACCACTATCATTACTGAAGAGCTAACACAAAGGAGMAAGTTACATTTTGCTCTGGCTTCAACATCACCAGCATCTAGCCAAATTTGCCCAATGAAGTGCATATACACAGCTTTACTGCAGACAGGAAAACTCTGTAATTGTGAGTACTTCAGGAATTTCTCCACTGGAATGTGTCCAGAAGACATCAGCTCTGGAAAAGACAAGTCTCTAGTCTATGGACAAGTAAACTCAATAGTCAAAGGTGGGGTTTAGGGCTCCTGTTATCTTGAATGAATTCTTGACTGTGCAGCTTGTGGTTCATTTTAAGTCTGTTGAAACTGTAAATTGAAGAATTCCAGTTTGGATCCCTGGGATATTTTCCAGGTGAATGCACAATGACAGAGCAGCCCTGCAATAGCTGTTAGCACTGCTGCTGTCTAAAACAACTGTCTCATACCAGGGTTACCCCTGAAGTCACGAAAGCCCCTGGTGTTGTTGGACTTCAGCTGGAATAAAGCCACAGTTGAAAGTGTTCATGGCTTGCATTCTTCAGAAGTATCATATCTCAGGGGAAAAAAGTTCTGGTGCCATTTCTTTCCAAAGCCTTTCAAGGGAATGTTTCCATTCTGCTAAATGGCTTCAGTGAGAAAATTTTAAAAACTTTCATGCATGTTCTGCAAGTAGTTCCTTGCATCTTGTGCTTTTATCCAAGCATGCTTTTTCAGTTCAGAGAAGGGTCTGTTACAATATTTGCTTTCATTCAGTGAATGAAATTTTTCTGCCAATTTTGGGGTTTTGGCTTGTGCGGGGAAACTGTWAAGATTATGGGAGGACCCATGAATCTGGAAGGCTTTGTGCAGTTCCAGGAAATTCAAGCASTTCTTGGAGAGAATCACTTTAAAGGGCAGAAATTCGTTTGGGAAAAGGGTAAGAAAATGTCCTTTATCTGGTGGACTAACCTATTTGAAAGGCAGGCCTCGAAACAGATCTGCTGTTAACAGTGTCATTGCCCCCAGCCCTGTACCTGTTACAATGTTTTTATTTTCATCAGTGTATTTGCCACAGTGSAAGACTTTTGCAAAAAACTGAGGACTCATCTGCCATGAGCAAGGGGGTGATATTGCCTGGTACCAGTATTTTTGGCTTATTGATACATTGGTTTTCTTACCACCCCTTAATAATACAATACAGAACAGTATGTCAAATGTCTCTGGAGGTTCTACAATGCTGGGGCTTGTTTTGTTATGAAAACCAAACCCATCTGAACTTTCCTGATGTTCTAGATACATCTCCTTCAGGAACATGGGCATGGAGCTTTCCAAAACCTAGCTACACAAGCTCATGCTTATCCTTGCTTGCATCACATTACTACAACAGTCCAGAAAACACATGCCTTTCATAGAATTGGGAGTTCATGTACAATTAACAAAATACCTGAATTTACAGAATTGTTATTTTAAAGTTCTCTTAATATTGTGAGATATGCTTACCCATATGATGCAGTGGTTACCTTGGGAGATTCCACTTCACCAAAGCCTAGACCTRAGTCCTGTGGACTGGAAATGCTGGATCTGGGTGAGAACAGCCAGTCTCCAGCAGTTCTGTGTAACAAGCTGCCCGACCTGGAAAAACATGCTACAGTTAAACAACACACAGTGAATATTTTTTTTTTCTGAACCCTGTGTGTCCCAAGCTTTTATTTTGTTTCTGAAATGTTTTGAGAGCTGTAGTAACTAACCCTTTCTGAGAAGCTTCCAAATAGCGCTGAGAACATCATGCAAGACTGAATTCAAGTAAGTTTTTGTGGCTACTCATTTTCCAAAGGTTTATATCAGGAATTTCAGACTTAAAGCCTTAAGCAAGGCACAGTGGTTTTCTGTGCTACTAGACATGTAATTCTCCTTTACATTTAATTTTTCATTCTGAATCACTTGTCTTTTCACTTTATTGGGCTGAGAAAAGTGGGTTATGTAATTAACTTAGTGTGATGCTTTTCTTGCTCTGCTACACAGGAGTAACTGCAAAAATGGGGCGGAAATGTTCTCCTTATTTTCTTATAATATCTGGCCAGACATTAGCAGGTGAACAGTGAACATTACCTATTTGTTTTAAAAAGATGTGAYAATTTTACAGAGTCAGGCACCCATTTACCTGCAAGAATTGGTGACCTGTATAATAAAATGTTGAAGAAATACCCTTACRTTACTTCAGTTCTGCATTTGGATTCTGCAGAATCACTTTTAGTAATTYTAATTATCAAGGTGAAAGTTGATTTTTGTTGAGAATCTTTTTTCTGTTTATTGCACTACCAGAAAGTGATCAAACACCCACCTTTGTCTGAAATTACCATAATTTTTAATGATGTGTATAGCAAAATAAATAATGAAAAAGGAAATCACTCTTCCTGGTTTTAGTGATCTAAAGAGTGACTTGTAAGATGAATCTATTTCAAAGRGTTGCTTACCTAAGAAGAGGAAATACCTGCATGTTCTGTGTGTGGTTTTGATGAAGATGTTACAATAGTTAAATCTCTGAACAGAAGTTTGTTCATTTCTGTGCAGAAGCTGTAACTG